GAGTACGAACAAAAACCAAACAATACGAAACAAAATGAAACGAAAAAGAGAGATTTCACTTATGAAGTGCCACTACTTATGACGAAAGAGAGAAGAGGAAGAGAGAGTCGAGACAGATATGATGGGGACGTGACGGATGGGATTGTGGGAAATGGCGAGAGGGAAGGTGAGAGAGAGAAAGAAAGAACGAAAAAGAGGGGTTTTGTACGTGATTCTGTGTTCTCGTCACACAACAGGTTGTGTGGTTTAAGAAGGCTCAGGATAGAGAGAGCACGACTTTCCAAACCCAATAACTTAAAAGATAATAAATAAAGTCCTTTACTTCAGAGGCAGTAGAAATTTTGTATAAAAATAGAACTGCATTTTTTTACAAATACAATTTACAGGCCTGTGGCTTTCTGTAATTTAAGATTTTTTTTTTCTCTTTCAATAAACATCAAGTTTTCAGTTGCCCACCCCTCCACATAGAACCTAGAATGCTTTATTCTTTTTAACCATCGACAGATCAAAATCTTTTTTAATGCTCTACACAAATTCTGTTGGACAAAGACCACAATTATCTGACGCATAAAAATCGGACTAATTTTTTTTTCTTAAAAAAAAAAAAACCCAAACCAAACAAACAAACATAAACAAAAAAAAACAACAATAACGAAAAAAAATAAAATAAATAAAAATCACTGAACATTTGACGGCAAGTATTTGTTGAGGAAGCTGTTTAGGCAGTTGTTGCCGTTGACTACAGAGAGGCCACAGCGGGTTTAACCCTTTCCTCTCTAGTGCCAGTGGGCCAAGGGTTCGAAGGAGCAGCAAAGCCCTGAACCGACACCAGAGGCCAAAGGGCAAAGGTTAATGTGCATATTGGTGCTTTAATCATATCGGAACCTTCTCTACTTGTCCTTACAAGCCTCAGGTTCACAAAGAGAAACAAATAATACTTTATACATCGTTTCTTTCTGCTGTTGTTATCATCATAGAATGCAAATAGCCATTGTATAAATATTTACTTAAAAAAAAAATCTAATAGTTTACACATGACTTAAACGGAAAAAAAAAAAAGAAAAAAAAATTGACCAATAATAGCTGTTCATCCATCGCAAGTCATACAAAAAATGGCGGAAATGGAAGCGTTCATGTGAAGAAAAAAAAAAGACAAAATAATAATACTGTTATTAATTCAAAAAGCTGAAAAGACGGTTATGGGAGAGTGATTCCCTCTGGTGGTCAAAGGGTGAAACTCCCCCTCGTGCACCCCCTCCCCCCTGAGTCCCAGTTTGGTAACCGTGGCAGCAGTGGGGACTTACCCTAGCAGTGTAACATGAGAGAGGCCCTAGTGCTAAGATCAGTACGGTTTGCTGTCGTTCTTCGAGCGCTTGAGCTGGACTTTGAGACGCTTCATGCCGATCTGAAACCCATTCATCGCCTGAATGGCGGCCTGCGCTGACACAGGATTGTCATAACTGACGAAACCTGCAAGGAACAATCACAATGTCTTTCGATTGTAATCAAGTCATGTTTGACAGCAAAACAACTGCTCATGCCATGTCCAATAAAACTAAATGACAGCATGAAATACAACATCAAATTAAATATAGAAAAAAAATGAAAAACAGTATAACATACTAAGCATGAAAGGGTTCACAAACACAATTTAATTTCAATTTTGCAAAACAACAATATAATGGCATTAATATGATGGCAAAATAATCATTATTATTTATTATTAACAAATAAAGCTGTCATTTTATTTTGTTGTATTCTGATGACTAGTTTAAGGTCAAATTAAATACGCCTATGTACTGTAGGCCTTAAGTGAATAACTGTTACTGGCAAATTCTGTGTTGTCTTTCCCATGAGTGATTGAATGTCAGTTCCTACCGAAGCACTTGCTCAAATTGGTCTGTTTGTCGATAAAGACTTTGGCAGACACCACGTTTCCGAAAGGCATGAACATCTGTAGGATGTCCTGGTCCCCAAATTCCTGTGGGAGGTGGTAGATGAACAGGTTGGCTCCTTCAGGTCCTGTTCCACACACACAAAACATACATGTGTCCTCGTTTAGTGAAGAAACCACAACTACGGTGCTGCATTAAAAGATTTTAAGGACAATAACGAAGAAAAAATAAAATAAAAAAATATATATATATATATTAAAAATGATATACAAATTTTAAAAATATATTAAAATCAGCAATATTGTGAAGTATTATAATAGAAAATAACGCTTTCCTATATTAATATATTTTAAAATGTAATCCTGTGATGTAAAGTAGAATTTTCAGCAGCCATTACTCCATGATCCTTCAGAAATCATTCTAATATTGTTGATAAAAAAAAAGTATTTTTTTTTTTAAAACTTCTTTGTTTCAAACTTTTAAACGGTAGTGTGTGTATTGTTGACGGACACTGATTTGGTTATGGATGTATATTAATGACAAAATGGTCACACAAAAAAATTGTAAAGCTGCATTTCTAAAGCACAAAAAAAAAAAAAGTACCAAATACTACTTTGGAACTTTGTAAGATAGATTTATTATTTGTTATTTTAAATCTATCTATCTATCTATCTATCTACAGATATTACAGGGGTTAAATTGTGATTTGTTATGGGGGGGGACGACTTTGTGTATCGAGCTATATATATATGTGTGTGTGTGTGTATGTGTGTGTGTGTGTGTGTGTGTGGTTTTTGCAAATATGATGTATTCTGAAGCAATATTCTCATGAGTTTTCTATCAGCTGTGACATAAAACTGTATGTTTTTTACATTTTATCCAAGGGCATTTTTTTTCCCTTTATAGAGAGCATTTTCCCACTAATCTCATTAATACTTTCATTTCAAATTATCATGAGTATTTACTGACTGGCCTTTTGGCTTGACGGCCTGGAAACAATAAATGATGAGCAAAGTGCTTGGACGGCCAGCTCCCTCATTTATCCAGCAATAATTACAATACTGACCTTTTATATTCAATTACACTATACAGCCTCTTAAATGAGCACTGGGAGGGTGTGTGTGAGAGAGAGTCATTAGAATGAATTTAAATTGTAGGCGTTCTGTTTGAGAGAGCTTGATTTATAAAACTAGAAACCTGGCTGAAAGGTCACTGGTGGAGATAGAGATTTTGTCCACGTGCTGACATATACACAGGCCGCAGTGATCTTTAGCTCGCCTATTTATACTAATTACATTCCGCAACGCCCATTAGGTACATTCTATTGTAAAATGAGTAGTTCTGGTTTTGAATGCTGATTTGTCAATACAGTGTTCCAGTCGTGCTTAAAATACACAATGTGGTAACAGCTATAATGCGAAGCATCTGTTTACCAGCTTCTGGTGTAGATCACAACACCCACAGAAGACAACTATTAACCCTAAGGGACTGTCGTTTCAAACTCAGACTTTTGTTTATTAAAAAAAAAAAAAAAAACTGAGAGATTTCTGTCTTTCCATTGAAAGTCCATTCCACCACAACTCAAGAAATCTATATCATATCAAATATGGTAAAAGGAATCTCAAACACTCTTGAGGCCAGTGAGGTTTGTTTTTGCTTGTTAAACAAATATGGCTGAGCTTCTGTTTACCATAATTGATGTGTGATTTTTATGTGACATTCATATTTGAATGTTTATTTGTGAATAAAAGCCTAAATAAATCTAAATAAAATTTTCTTGTTTCTTCAAAAGACTTGGATTAAACTCTTATGGATAACTTTTAAGTTGCTTATGAAGAAAGAAATCTCCCAGGTTTCATTAAAAACGAGTGCTGTCAAACGATTAATCGCGATTAATCGCATCCAAAATACAAGTTTTTGTTTACATAATATATGTGTGTGTACTGTGCATATTTATTATGTCTATATAAATACACACACATACAGTATATATTTTGAAAATATTTACATGTATATATTTATATTATAGATACATATATTTAATATATAAACATAACAACAAAGAGTGAAAAATTTAAGGGGGTCTGAATACTTTCCGTACCCACTGTATATATATATATATATATTCACTAGATAAATATTCAACCATGTTACATTGTAGCCTCAAAAATGCAAACCTTTTTTTTTCTTCAAATTTTGTCATTGATGTACTTCCATATTTGCTGTGTTACTTAAATGAAGTTGAACTACATTTCCCTTTACACTTCCAGTGTAAGCAATTTCCAGTGTGTGTCCCCATACCCTCTTTCTGGCTGCCCGCAGCACTCTGTTGCTGCAGTAGGGACTGGCTGTAGAGAGTGGGCAGGGCGGCAGCCGCGTACTGTTGGATCCCTGAGTAGGCCTGTGTGAGAGCGTCCATGGGCCCGGCCGACCCGTTACTCAGGCCCGTGCTGCCCAGCCCGCCGTTCAGAGCTGCCATACCTGAGAGCATGTGAGCAACTTTACATAAAACCCAACAATAAAGAAAAAAGAAGTGCTCTTACTCGTTAGCATTTGGACTCAGGGTGTGTTTCTACAACAAAGCACAACACGACACACACAAAAACAGACAGAACATGAAAAACCCAACGACACACGTGAACAGTGACAGTATATATTTTGAAAATATTTACATGTATATATTTATATTATAGATACATATATTTAATATATAAACATAACATATTTTTCTTAAATATATACATGTATGTGTGTGCATTTATATAGACATAATAAATATACACAGTGCACACACATATATTATGTAAACAATAGTGCTGTGTTCGATACATCGAACTCTCTCCACTGTGAATAAACGCGCTTGCTTTCTGAAAACACCGGTTAGCTTGCAGCGACACACAAAAACAGACAAAACACGAAAAACCCAATGAGACACTCGGACAGAAAGACAGTGAACGTAACACTCATCGAAACAGCAGAATCACAAACATCACGCTGGACATTACATCATAAACAGCACCCACTCACACATATACACACAAACACAAGATAGAAAAGATGCATAATATACTGACCGGTGTATGCAAATGAGGAGCGCGGCCTACACATGCAGACTAATGTCACAATAGCAGCACGAAACGATCACCACGGCGACCCTCAGACACACCGAAACATCGGGACCAATCACCTTTTTAACCTCACACAGCGGAAATCTACATCTAATTATCTCATTATTCGTGTCAGCAATCTCGGCTGTATTAAAGGGGTTGTGGGGAAAACATTACACTCTTTTAATAAAATACAAATGCATCCTTGGATCCATTAAAGACAGAACCCCTGACTGCTAAAACAGATGCACATGTGCTTCAGGGAGTAACCCCTGTAACTCCAGTCTATGGGAATAGATATGTACACACACACACACACACATTACTGTTCAAAGGTCTGGGTTTGTTACGATTAAGGTTTAAAAGGTTTTGAAAAAGTTACTTTTGTTTACAAAGGTAAAATATAGTATAGTAACAGTAATACTGTGAAATATTACAATTTGAAACTGTTTTCTATTTAAATTTATTGTAAAATGTCATTTTTCCTTTGATGTAAAAGCAGAAATTTCAGCAGCTGTTACTTAAGAACTTATTCTATTATGCCAATTTTGTGCTCAAGAAAGACTTCTTATAATCAAACCAAGATTTTTTTCTGGATTCTTTGATGAAGAGAAAGCTCAGAACATAATTTATTTGTAACACTGTAATTGTCTTTTTTTTTAATCAATTTAATACATCCCTGCTGAATATAATTATTAATTACATAATTATAATTTATTTCTTTAAATATAATCATTATTTATTTCATATACACGGCCTTAGTGGTAAAACATCTCAGTACTTAAGAAGGGGTGATAGAGTTGAAATCTTTTTGTCATTAAATGGATATTAGTTTATCAGTTTGATTACCAAATAATCTGTCAATAAATTCTTAAATTAACTGATTAACTGGATGTTCCACATCTTGTTCAAAAACTGACCTTGTGCAAATTGTGGTCTATATAATGCATCAGATACATTATTACAGTATAGAGAAATAAAATAAATATTTTTTCTAGCTATGGCAGAAAAAAAGGACTGAGAAAAAGACACTTAAACTAGAGAATCCCTTGTGGCAACGCATATTCATAATGTAAAACAACACATCAAATCATGCTACCGTAGAAGCAGTTGTGTTCACGTACTGTTTTTTTTTTTTTACGTCTTTGTGTGTGTGTGTGTGTGTTTATAAAGACTGATTCATGAGTATTTACTGACTGGCCTTTTGGCTTGACGGCCTGGAAACAATAAATGATGAGCAAAGTGCTTGGACGGCCAGCTCCCTCATTTATCCAGCAATAATTACAATACTGACCTTTTATTTTCAATTACACTATACAGCCTCTTAAATGAGCACTGGGAGGGTGTGTGTGAGAGAGAGTCATTAGAATGAATTTAAATTGTAGGCGTTCTGTTTGAGAGAGCTTGATTTATAAAACTAGAAACCTGGCTGAAAGGTCACTGGTGGAGATAGAGATTTTGTCCACGTGCTGACATATACACAGGCCGCAGTTTGGATGCGATTAATCACGATTAATCGTTTGACAGCACTATTAAAAATAAATTTGTGTTTAAAAAAAAGTCTTATGGGTTTAGAATGCCATGAGGGTGATTAAACGGTGACAAAATTTCAATTTTTGGGCTAAACTATCCCTTAAAAATCACAATTTTGTCATCATTTACTCACCCTCATGCACTTCTACACCTGTATGACTTTTGTCTTCTGTAGAACATCCATTTTTTAATTATGGCGGAATATCCTGTGATGTCCACTTCGCAGGGCACTTACGGTCGAATAGAACAAACGTCTGAAGTGATACGAGATACATACAAAATGTGCAGCGTGGGGGGTCGCGAGGACTGAAATTGAGAACCTAGTCTAGTCTGAAATCATTCAAACCCCAAGTAAAAAAGACACATATACACAACACACACACACGCGATAGCGACAAAACAAGTGCATGTCTATAGAAACACCCAGAGCAATGGTTTAGCGGTGTGTTAGCATGTCTGAATGTGTGGAGAGATGTGTCCGATTGGTGCAAACACACTCACGACTACAAGGGATGGGCTACATTTGTTCTGACTTAGCAAATGGATTTGATCTGATCTGATTTGATTCAATAATGAGGCCTTTTACAAATCACACACACCTAATTTTAATATATCAGCAGGACTCAATGTGAGAAATTCACCCAACAAACTCTCGCGTAAGCCCAGAGAGATGCCCTTGCTTTAGCCGGTGTAAGTTTAGAGAGTTTAGAGTGAATCTATTAAAAAGCATTTGCTATCTCTGTGAGATAGGCATCTCTATGAGCAGTGGGTGGCTGGTATGAGGTGATGTTGTATGGATTGGGATGGAGAGGCCGATGGACGGTAGTACTCACTGTTGATGCTACCTGCTAGTGCATTTATGTTATTGAGGCCAACGGTGGCCCCGGCCAAACCCTGCAGTGTCCCCAGAGAACCCAGGGAACCCATCGCACCCACACTGGAGTTAGCTGTGGAACCTGCTGTGAGGAAAGACAGACAGAGCAGGAAGGAGAGACAGGTGGAGATTGGAAGAGAGAAAAAGAGAGATGTTTGAACGTACACATACATTCGCAGATGATACTGAAATGGTTAAAGATACATACATAAAAGCTTTGGTGGAGGTACACAGAGGGAAGGATGCATGAATGGAAGATTGATTCACTGATAGATGGTAGGGTTGGGTGGCTTTGATGGCAATGTAACATTAAGCAATGTTGTGAATATCGCAATGATTGTATAGCGCAATTTATTAGGCCATTAAGTTTTCTAAATAGGGAATCATTAGACTGATTTTTAAATCCTTCCTGTCCTGTAACTTGTGCATCAAGACAGATTTTTTAATAGTGCGCCTGATTTAAACTTTAGAATAAATGCTATTCAAGTTGGTAAGTTCATTTCTATGAATCAGTTCAAACAGTATTCAATTCAATTCACGTTTACTTGTACAGCGCTTTTCACGATACAAATCATTGCAAAGCAAAATTAAAAGTTTCTACATCATATTTAGGAGTAGCTTATCAGTGGTGACTATGAATGGAGCACGGTTAAAGCCAGACAGTACAATGAATCAAAACGTGTGATTCAGTTTTATTAATGTATTACATGTCTTAATTTATTTGTATATATATAATAAGTAAATATTCTGTTTATTACTGTGTATTGTTACATACTGGTACATGCAAATGAAAATAAATGTGATTCTTCCATGTGGGAAGTGTGGAAAATCATGCAATGATTATAAATTATTTTAATGTATTTTTTCTTTTGCATTCAGTATTTGTTCAGCATTTAGAATTTACTTTACTACAGAGATTTTTATGATAAAAAAAAAAAAGAATCACCCTATTTTAATGACACTGAACATCATCAAAGGACTAGAAATTATTGTGATTATTTATTTTTTGGCTATATGGTGTATAGAATAATAAATATATAAAGTGGATAAGATGGATGGATGGTCAGATGGATAGATATATGCATGCACTTTATTAATTCCTAAAGGGAATCTATTAAAATTACAGAAAAAAAAAGACAAGATAGAGACATCAACAACAATAAAGATTATTGCAATCATGAAGATGATAACGACGGCAATGTTTTCAAAAAAGAGAAATAAGATTCAAGCAAAACATCTCTTGAAACAAAAGAACTCTGAAGCATATAAAAGCTTTTCCCTCTGCTTCATCTGCATTTATGCAAGTTTGAAAGAAATTTTCGAGCTTCAAAGCAAGACACAGAGATGCTAATCTAACCGGAGAACCATGTGTCACACTTATAAGTGTCTCCTTGTTTCACATTTCATCTTTTCCAAAATGAATGGAGCACGGTTAAAGCCAAGGAGCACAACAGCTCAACGCCACACATATGGACACACTCTCCCAAACAAGATGATGGTGATGATGATGATGATGAACGTGAACCATGATGGACGGTACCAAGGAACTACGCACACACATACTGTATAAACAAGAAATGGTGAACTCAACTACAACAAATGAAGGGACAATGACGGTATGGTGGAAATGATACCGATATCGAAGAGGATAATGATGATGGGACGGCCTCTGGTTACCTGGGCTGGCCAGGGCTCCCAGGGACCCTGTGCTGGAGGTCAGGGCGCTAGCGGTGGACGGGCTGGCTGAGCTCTGTGCTGCAGCCGCTGCTGCTGCTAGAGTGGCCAGATTCTGCAACTGCAGAGCATTCATACCTGAAGAAAGAGAAAGTGTCAATGTGTGCATGTGTGTGTTTGGTGCATGTTAAACTAAAGGAACCACATGTGCTACAGAATGCTCTACACGAGCGAGAGTTAGTAGAGTCGTGTGTAGAGGCGTTTCGTACAGAAGATCCGATTATATGTGTGAGCCGGGGTGCATCTACTCCAAAGGTGACTAGATTAGCGTGTTTGGGGCACGGCTACATGCAGTGGCCATGATGCCAACACGCTGCGGGAAGTGGCTCGCAGCCAAGAAGGACAGAGATTGGAAGTGGTACAACAGGAAAATGCACAGCATGTGTCGTATATACACGTAAAATGTATATACTCGATACTATGAGGGAGCACGCACACACACAGAGAAAAAAAACACACGCACAAGTGACACATCAGACTTCAGAATTACAGTATTTGGATTGGTGAAGAATTATAGGCCCTGTCCCAACTGCCACCCCTCCTACAAGTCCACAATTTGGTGACCAATGCCCCACGATGGTCTGGTAGTCATCCCAAGTGTTGGTTCAGTGAAAGTGTGCAATAAGATTGTGAGCACCCATTTGAAAATTAAAAACTATCATGGACTTCACGGACAAGTGACAACCTGATCAAGTACACATCAATGTTTGTCAACAGAGACTGAAAGCAAAGGTTCAAACACAGGATCCGTAGCTATCTGGAAAAAAATGTCTTAGTTTTTTCCAGCCTTATCCCTTTAGACAGCAGTAGCGTGTAATTTGGATTGGTCAGACAGTGCTCTGGGGACACCACGGTTGTTTGCCCTCCCGATCCACTGAGCAAGCAAGAGAAGTGCATTAAGAGTCTAATTAGCACATCACAGAAGGTGATTAGAGACAGGAAATGTACTCTAATTGCAAAACAAAGCCCAGATCAAGACATAAGAGCAGAGACGATTCTTTACAGATCTTGAACAGCAGGTTTAAAATCAGCATTAAATGGCTCTCAAGACCCAGTCCACTTCCGTAATGTGGCATTTCCGAAAGAAACGAATATTCAACAGTAAAAAGAAAGAAAGAAATGGCCAGAACTTGCAAAAAGTGGTTTCAACATAGGTGGTTTGAAGGAAGGGGTTGAAAATCAAGAGGGATCTGAGATTTCACCCAAAAATGAAAGCAGTTTTAGTTATTACATTATAATGAAATATTATGAAGGCCAAAATTTGTAATTCTTTTGAGTAATTGTTCACAATAAGAAATGTTTAAGGTCAATTAAATAAGTCATCTCTGACTTCATGGTTCAAGACTTCAAACTTGAATAGCATTTAATATAAAAGAAGCTAGAAAAAGCTTCACTGGATGAGAAAAGACAGAAATGGACTCTGAAATTGAGGGCTTTATGACCACCTTTGTGATTCTGAATAAAGCGGAAAAGGAACCATTTTGAGTTTTTGGCGCACAAGTGTCAAAAAATGGGCATTGAGTATTTGGCACAATGTGAGTTCTGTGGTTGAGAAGGGCACTTCTGCTAGTGTGTGTGTGTGTGTGTGTGTGTGTGTGAGAGAGAGAGATCCATCCATGCAGTATGTTCACACTCAGCGTACTGAGCGGAGAGAGAGGTGTCAGGAAAGAGGTGATGCTGGCTCTCGCTGAATGTTCATCATGATGGAGCTCCTTATGGCTCGTAACTCCACCCACAGCACAGACACAGCAGATGGCAGCTGTATATATCGTCTGCCAATCATAGACGGTTGCCAGGCGACAGATGGAGGGGCCCAAAGATTTCACAATTCAGCCGAGAAAAGTCTTCAAATCCTGTTGAGTTTGAGAGCTCCTGTCGATTTGCACTTCAAGCAGTGTCTCAAACAGACTGATATGTTTATCCGGTCATATTGAACAGGTTTCTGGCTTGGGTTTATGCAATGGTCTACTTTGAACTTTTTAAATTTGAATTTTTGGCCATTGTTCCTCTTCAACTGACAGTAGAACAAAAACGTATAGTGGGATTGATGAGGGATGAGGCAGATCGGATTTAAACCTGCATCTCTTGCATGAACTTCACAGCTCGACATGTCTGTATGCCAGGAGTGTCCAATCCTGCTCCTGGTGGGCAAATGTCCTGCAGAGATTAGCTCCAACCTCCACCAACACACTTACCTCGAAGTTTCCAGTAATCCTGAAGACCTTGATTAGTTGGTTCAGGCGTGTTTAATTAGGATTACAACTACATTATGCAGGATAGTGGTAATCCAGGAGTAGGGTTGGACACCCCTGTTGTACGCCAACCACTAGGCCATGGCTATGACTACTGTATACTTAGAAGTTTGGTTGAGTTTGGCTCATTTGTGCAGAGGTAAATTTGAATATGGCAAATCAAGATGTGTCACACCAAGTTTAGAGTCAACACAGTCAAATGTCATTGGTTGAACCTGGTGAAAAGTCTTTATGTGCCATATTTAAATGTATACACGTAATGGTTTGGTATCACAGCAAAATGGTTTGGAACGACACATTACCGAATTTTAAATTCTGGTTGAATGGTTCCTTTAATCCAGCACGGACACATTGCTGTATATAATCTGTATGTATAATAACAAACTACTTTGTCCATCATGCTTGACCAGTTTCCATTCATTCCCTCAAATCCAAACCAGTTTGATTAAAAGTCTAAACTAATCTGTTTTGGGAGAATATATTGCTTTAATAAAATGAAGTCCAGAAAATTCAATTGTTATGGTAATGTGGGAATTTCTCGCTCTTTAATTGTGCGGTGGCAGCTGCTGCTGGTTTGGCTCGATGTGAACTTCATTCTCGCTGAGAGGCTGTCACAGATGTACCACTAAACTTAAACAAGAGCTTCCAGAACTCTTCATAATGGTAAACAAAAACACCACAGTCCTGCTCACCCTCTCCACAAGAGCCTACATTAATGAGGAAGCCACTCTCTGGTGTGCAAAACTGTTGTCGGGGGAGGGGGGGGGAGGCTTTAGGAGATAAAGGCACTCATCCTACACACACTGTAAGCCATTTTGGATGCTAATACGTTCTCTTTCTTTCATCCTTAGCAGCTGCAATTAGGCGAGAGCGCGTGCTATAAATATTTCACTTTCCTTGAAGGCCTGGCAGCTTGATAAACAGACCACAATTAAGACCTGACAAGAACAGAGACGCACACTGGGAATGTAACGCACAAGACAGCGAAAAAACATTGAAAATGTAAAAAAGAAGGAAAGTGAGCAAAGAGGAACTTAAATTTTTTGTTGCATCTAGCATAATGTTGGAGGCATAAAAACTGTCAAAGAGAGAACAACATGCACCTGTCTAACAGCTGGAGTAAGCATGAGCTCATTGGCAGATGTTGTAAAACACTAATCATATTCCAGAGTGCTAAACCAAGTCACCGTGAAGATAGAATAACATATCATGTTGCTTCGATGAGGAATCCATCTTGAGTTGCTGAATTCTCTGCGGGTTTCTGGCGAATTTGACAGTATTCATGGCATAAACAAACTGTGATAAGTGGCCTATCTGGATAAGGGTACTTTCATTTTTCCTCTTCTTTGAGAACTGCTAAAGTGAAAATGTAAAAAGCTGAGAACATCTGAGGGTTGATGGGGCATATCATCATGATTTGGTCTCCCATAAGCCTCACAGAGCTCAGGCAAAGAGATGTGATTTGATGATGAGACAAATTTATCTTCCAAGAAACAAAAAAAAGGGTTTGATGCACATCGGAACAGGCGTGGAAAGAATGGCTTTTATGTGATCAATCAAGTCTCAGTTCATCATCAAATTCTGACACACACATACACTTACAATCATTACAATGTGTCCAGTTGTGCTGCACATTGTATAAAGCCAAGCATGTTGAATCTAAACTTTGAGGCAGGATGAGAATGTTTAGCTCAGCCGAACATCTGCTGATCCTGGATCTGCTCAGGGTTGAGGTGTCAAACTGTTTTTTTTGTTGTTTTTTTTTTAAATGCAATCCAGAGCTGGTTTGAATGGTTTAGTAGGGGTGATGGAAGTTTAGTTGCGGAGTTACAATGGGGCTAGTTGGGTTAACAGATCTGAGTTCAGTATCTCACCTGCCATCTGTTGAATGCCACTGAACGCTCCTAGGTTACTGGAGGAGGTTGCTTGTTGAAGCAACTGTGAGAAAAAGAGAGAGAAACAGACCATTAATGTGTAATCACTATTATGTATTGGCCTATGGTGATGGATATATAAGGATAATGTTTGAAGGAGCTAGTGTTAGCTAAATATAGATGAAACATTGTGGTTTGTTTTCATGTTTCATGTTGTCTGGAGTGAGCAGTCTGTCAACAGTAAAGCAACACAAAAGCCTCTATCTGTTATTTCGAGTTTTTTAGCAACTGGTGTTCCTCAAGTATTAAGATTGGGCCCGCTCTAGTTTTGCATTAAACAAAATATTTTCGTGTAATAAATGTATTCATACCATCAAAATCACAGCCAATTAAAATATATTTGATTTCTAATACACAACATATGTGCTGTCTAATGTTAATAGAACTTCTTAGCGCAACAAAATGGCTTGTGGCATAGCACATTATTGCGATGCAACTGGCTAGGACAAAAACTCAGTTTAAGGTTTAATTTATTGATTTATTGATACATTTATTGATTTTTCTGTGGCTTTAACACAGAGAGGATAATTAAAATACTGTGTTAGAAAGGTTATCAAGCTAAATCAGTTTATATATTTTAGTCAAGAAATAACTCTAACTGTGGACTCCGTGGTCTTTTAAAACAATCATTTGCGATTTACATAACACATAGTGCTGAGAGTGAAAGCCATGTAAAAATATTCAGAGGAACAAAATCATAAAAGACTTGAGGACCACTTCAAGGTATTAGCCTCATACATCGGTGCCAGTGAAAACGGTCATGCTAAGAGTCACCCGTCAGTTCTGTTGGCAGTGTGTTGCTGTCCTGGGCAGTTTCTGCACATGAAAGGGGAGAGGAAAGCAGACTCTAAATGACTCTAGAGGATTAGGATGACATTGAGTTAGACTCCTCAGACTGCTTAAAAGCTAAATGTAACCTCAAAATGACAGGGAAGTGAAAAAAGGCAGAAAAAGGAGAAGCGGAATAGTGGGAGAGATGGCCCTGTCCCAATGCTCTTGCATAGTCCTTTAAATCCTCACCCACTGTCCTTATTGACTAAAACGCAAGTAAATGTCACCACCTTGTTATATCCTCTTTATATTTAGGCGGATGAAGAGGGGGATGAGTGAAACAGGGAATTTATGCATTGTCCTCAACCCAATCCAATTACACAACACAACCCAAGCCGGGTTCTGGAAATAAAAATCTCTTTCATTTTCTCTACAGAGGAAAATATGTTTAATAATATTGCATAAACCTTTTAAGACAGACCTAGCATAATTGTTCAAGCCTAGTATATGTTCCTATATTAATTGTATATGTATTATTTATATAATTATAATTAATTACATTTTTAAACATTTGTTTCATTTTTATTTGATTAGGCCTACATTCTTTGCAATGCATCATGCCATGGGATGAAATGTTGAATTGTGGTGATTGATCTCAGCGTTGGTTGGTTTGGGATCATGGCCTTATTAGGCTTTTTACTATAGATTTTAAAAATGCCAATGAAGAAAACAAATACAAAAAATACTTTTGAAACCAAGGCTGCTTAAAAACTGTCCCCTCTCTGTCAACCTTCTTGAAAGTAATAAGAAAGCTGGAGCAATTGTAGCCCCTAATGCAGTGGTTCTCATCCTTTTTGACTCTAAGGCCCCCCATTGTCCACAACAATATTCAAAGGCCCCCCATGACTTTGCCTGCTTGTGATTTACTAGAAAAGGATTAAAGATAAGGATTATCTAAAATATGTTTTCATCACAATTTCTATCAAATAAAATATTTTAGAGCTTGGCATAACCAGAAAATGTATATTTGCATACATATATATGGTACTAGAGTTATATGATTTTTTTATATTTATATGACTTTTCCAGGTTTATAAATCACACTTTTAAATTCACACTTTTTTTTCTAGACAGTGGGAAACCTGGTTCTTTTATGAAGCAAAAAACTGTTTTACAGGGTGAATTAAAATAAGAAATATCTTGATTTTCAGGTGTATTAGTGCTTGTTTTGTCTCATTTTAAGTCTTAAACCTATCGCAAGTTTGATCTGGCCCCCTAGTGGGCCCTGGTCCCCTGGTTGAGAACCACTGCCCTAACAGCTTCTCAATAGCAGCACTACCACATAAAAATTTTGAGTATGGGGACCGGTTTCGAGGCGAACTTCGATCAAGGCGCGATCGCAGTTTAACAGATGAGAGATTTGGAAAAGGGGTTAAGACTGGCTCAGAGAGAGCAAGAGAGGAGGGGGCGGGGCAGGTGGGCGGAGACAGTGACTGACTGCGGCGGCTGCGTTGGCTGTGCTGCTGGTTGGCAGGGCTGCGTGGGTGTGTCCTCTTACTGCCAGATACTGCGGGGTGAGGCCAGTCAGGCCGGTCAGGCTGCCCCAGGCAGACGCACTGTTCAACTGCTGCATCTGCTGCGCCAACTGCTGCTGCAGCCGCCGCTGTTCCTTATCCTTCTGTGTGTCGGCAAACTTCACCACCATGGGGGAGGAGCATCCCTGTGTGGACAGATTGAAAGAGAGAGAAGAAAAGTGTAAAAGGAAGAGGGGTAAAAAAAGAGGGAACGCTAAATATCTAAAAGAGCAATGATCATGTGCAGTGGTACTGCACAAACACACACACAACCGCTGGAGCGACGGGAGTTCTTGGTGAAATGAGAGTTCTGTGCTGTGCTGCTGATTTTATTTCCCAGGAAAGCGATTTCCTGCTTTATAAAACTATTTCATCATCTGTCTGAGAGAGCGAGCGAGATCTCCCACCCCACAGCCCTCACTGTACCCTAGACCTGCCGCATTTCTGCTAATCTCTCGCGCTTTCTGTCTCTCTCCCCGACGAAAACAAACAAATCTAAACATCATGAGGCTGACCTGTGATGCCCGTTTAACTAAAGACCTGGGGGTCAGAATATAATGAGAAGGGTGTGTGTGCATATCAAGTGATGTGTTAGTTCTTGAATGGGTTATTCAACCAAAATGTAACATTTCCTCATGATCTACTTACCATTACGTTCCTCGAAAACGTTTTTTTTTCCCCCACAAAGGCTGAGCAAAATGTCACGTACAAAAATCTCTAATATAAAAAGGTCCAAAAGGTACTTTTTACTCCATTCATTCAAAAGGACTCTTTCCTTTCTTTCTTTTTTTT